AAAGGTTTTATATAGCTTGGGAAAAGACCACGATTATTCAGTACAGGTATACATTTTTGTGTGATTAGCAGTAAAAGAATAGAATCAATGTGAAATTTTCAAATGAAAAAAAACAAATTATTAAAAGTTAAAAACTAAAATGTATGTTAACTATGGCTATTCAGTGCATTCACCTCAGAATTTTTTTTTTTAATTTCAGTGCCCAAAATGAACTAAATGGACATTTCTCAAAAGAAGAAATAAAAATGGCCAACAAATATATGAAAAAATGTTGAACCTCTACCAGTTTAGGAAAATATACAGATCTTACACTGAGATCTAGGGATGGGGCTCAGTCTGAGTAGAGTCCTTCCCTAGCATGCATGAGGCTCTGGGCTCAATCCCCAGCCCTGCTTTAACAACAACAACAACAAAACGAAAACAAAAAAACACTACATTTCATTTCACATTTCACTCCAATTAGAATGGCACTTATGAAGAGTACAAATAAAAATAAATTCTGTCAAGCATGCTGGGAAAGGGGAGCACTTATACACTTTTTGTGGGATTGTAAATTAGTGCAACCAAAAAATGGAGATCAATATGGAGATTCCTCAAAACACTAGGAATGGAAGCAGTATATGACCTGGCTATAACACTGCTTAGTGATTATCCAAAAGAACTTGTTAGCATACTGTAGTGATACATGCATACCCAAGTATAAACCAGTATAATTCACAATAGCCACATTATGGAACCAACCTAGGTGCCCCTCAACATATAACCAGATAAAGAAAATGTGACATATATACACAATGGAATTTTATTCAGCCTTAAAGAAGACCAAAATTATATCATTTTCAGGAAAAAGGATAGAACTGGAGAATATTGAGATTAACCAGACTCAGAAAACCAAGGTTTTATGTTTTCTATCAAATGTGGAAGCTAGGAAGAAAAAAGGAAAGAAAAGGAACCTCATGAAAATATAAGAGACCAGTAGATTAGAGGAAGGGTAATCAGTGGAGAAAGTAAGGAAAAATAAGGGGTGCCTAGAAGAATGAAACACATCAAATTATACTTTGTATTTATATGAATAAATTATAATGAATCCCATTTTTATGTATCATTATAATGCACCAACAGAATGTATTTTAAAAAGAATCCTAATGCCTGATTCTAACCAAATTAAGTCAAAATCTGGGTGATTTGAAAGCTCCCAGCGTGGTGAGAATTTTTTAAAATGTTAAAGTATGGACTCATACCCCCTCACCCTCCAGCACTGGGGCATGAACCCAGAGTTTGGGTTATTTTGTTCATGTTAGGCAAGTGCTTTAGCCCTGAGGTATGTCCCCAGGTGTTTTTATCTTATTTGTAATTTTTAAAAATTTTTGAAACAGGAGCTTACTAAGTTGCATACACGTTTAGAAAACAAATAAAATTATAAAAAAGATACTATATCAAAACCAAAGCACACATTTCCCAAGAATGTAATTTTAATTTAATGTAAAATTAATGTACACTAGGACTGGAGTTGTGGCTCCATGGCAGAGTGCTTACCTAGCATGTGTGAGGCACTGACTTTGATTCTGGCACCACATAAAAAAATAAATTAAGACATTGAGTCCATATCCAACTAAAAAAATAATGTACACTATAACATAGGTTAAAATTATATCTCAGTAAAGGCATAGAATGGATTTGATAAGATGTGATATTTATTTGTGTTAAAGCAAGCCAAAAGGAAAAAAACCCTCACTAAGCATAAAAGGAATTGCTAAAACCTTATTGAGTATGTTCTCCCTCCAGTAGTCATTATGCTTAATCTTAAAACTCTGGAATATTCCCTCTGAGAGTGGCATAATAGTAACCACTTGCTTGCTTCTTCTTATTAGAAGTTCTGGGCAAAGAAGTGAGATAATTATATGGGTAGATGGATAGATAGGAAAGGAAGAAAAAAACAGATGTCTTAGTGTTGTAAAGACATAAATTCTCCCCAAGTTATCTTTAGACTTAGTGCCACACTAATCAGAGCCCCAATGGATTGTGTCAAAGAAAGGTATACAGCAACAAAGGTAAGTTACAGAAGCACAGACAGATCTCACAAATATAATATTAAATTTAAAAAGTCACCAAAGCAAATGTGTAGTGTGAAACTATATTATTTAGGCTTTCTGTCATAGGTAGTTAAGACTATAAAAGGAAGTCAAGGAAATGTTTATCACTAAAATCAAAATAGTGACACCATTATGGGTCAGGGTAGGAGATATCATCAGGGAGAATCCTGCTTCTAGGGTGTAGGCAGTGACGTGGGTGGTAATTACATGGATGTTCACTATGTAACTGTTCTTTAAACTGTGTATTTGTGTTTTGTGCATAGATAAAATCAAAGAACTGAACTAAAGAATTTGAAATGGAATAAGTAAATTACTGAGAATTGATAAATTAAGCTAATCCATGATGTTAGGTACTTGGTGACTGTACTGTAATGTTGAATTAACTAGTATAATTTAAACTATGCCGTTCAGATAGAAAGTTAAGAAGCTTTAAAAAAAAAAACAACATCAAATTTGTTGCTACTCGGTTTACTAGAATCCATGGTGTAGAACTAGTGTGAAGCAAATTCTGCTTTTACTAATTCTCAGGACTATCGTTACTAAGGGGACTATAGAGATTGTATCTATAATGTGATAGTAATTATAACAATATCTATCACTTTTTGAGTACTTAAACGTATCAGGCATTGGGTCAAGCACTGAGTTTATTATCTCAATTAATCCTGCAAAAATTTCTCATGTGTGAGTCCCATTATTATCTGTGTTCCACATTGCATAATAAGAGACAGAATTGGGTTTTATTCTGTTTCTGATTGTAGAACTCCTGTTTTTAACCATACCTTCAAGCAAGAATAAGAATGAGATCTAGCAGTATATAGTATCACATACATTATAGATTTTTCATTGATTCTAACTGGCTATAATCTGGATATTCAAATTTATGAAAATGCTGCAGCATACTAGCTCTGTGCCAAGTATTTCTCTGGTATCTATTTATTGGACCTTTTGCTCGAGTGTAGCAATTTGTAATCTATGCCACAAAAGATCACTGGCCTCTTTCTTCCTTGGAACTAGTGTAGTGTGGTATTTCAAAAACCATTTTTTTTTGTGGGAGGGAGTACAAGGGACTGAATTCAGGTGCACTAGTAGGGGGTACCAGGGTTTGAACTAAGGGGAAGTCAACCACTGAACCATATCCTCAGCCCTATTTTGTATTTTATTTAGAGACAGGGTCTCACTGAATTGCTTAGTGCCTCACTTTTGCTGAAGCTGGCTTTGAACTCCTCCAGACTCAGCTTTCCCAGCCTCTGGGATTACAGGTGTGTGCCAACATGCACAGCTACAAAATTCAATTTGATATCACAAGTTATTTTTTTTTATAGCCTTCATCCAAATTACATATAATGACCTTCCTTCAGATTGGTGCAGTACAGAAAATTACCTCTTAAGTTTTATGGGCAACTCTTATCATTGGGAGAGTTTCTGGCTATTCCTTACAGAAACTCACCCTCCTCTGGGTCAAATTAATGACTTATGTTAAGAGCCTTAAAAGTAAGGCCCACTTTGGTGGAATTGCTGTTTTTCTTACACCCTCATAACCCCTTTTCAGATAAGTTCTTAAATAAAATTACATTCTATTGGCAAAAATATTTTTAATTGCCTCATATTTTTATGGTACTATGCAGTGTTACATACGATATTAGAGATTTTTTTTAAATAATTTATTTATAATCAATAGGTAACTAGGATCATTTTTCTAAAATGTTGAAACATCAAGCTGTTGGTTAAAAATGAAATCCCTACTTATTGCATTTCTTCTCTGAAAAAAATTATGGTTAGCCTATAGTGTTTTGACTTACAATGAGTTTTCCAGGAAGCTACCATTTGTATTTTAACATCTCTTAAGGTAATATGCTAGCCAGGGTACCAGGAGAGAAGCTGGGTAGGTTCTGTCTGCTCTTTAGCCTCCAAAGAGCTGAGATTCTGCTTTTACCTAATTATTTATATTTCTTTGTTTTCCAATGTGTATTCATGAATTTTTTTAAAAAAATGGTTAAGCATCAATTAAATTGGCATATGTTCAAAATTGGCATATTCATAATATTGTTGCTTTATTGTCTGAGCATTAGGACTGCAGGCTTGGGAACAACAAAATCCACTATTTTCCTTCATCCTTATTTGAAACTAGATAGAGCCATATGAAATTTCATTTTGACTAAATTTGCTACCTCTTTTTTTTTACACTATTTTTGGAAATGAGAAAAACAAAAACTCTTGCATATAATAAAACTTTTCCTAACGTACAAAGTAATACTTTATTTATGTTCCTTTCATTGGGCCTTTTAAATCATTGAGATAAATAAATGTGAAATCCAAAAACCTTGTTATGTTTATTACTGAGAATTGATTTGTAAATAGATACATTCCTCTACAAAGATAATTGTAAAAATTGATATGGCATATGATATTATATTTAAATGCAAAAGCAGACATTGGAATCCATTGTTAGGATCCAGTGCTAGGTATTGAAGCCAGACCCTCATACCTGGTAGGCAAGCACTATACTACTGAGCCATAACTGCTAAACTGTTCCCCAAGCCGTATAGTGGTGGTCTTCTGTTATCCCAGACATTAAAGAGACTTCAAAAATCAAGGCCCCATCTCACTTTTTGCAACCCTTTTTCAAATCTAATATTTTTCATTTGAAATGTTATTTATGGTAGCATATAATAGACATTGTTTTATAAATGAATTAAAAAAAATTTAGGCCTATTTTAACTTAAAATATGGTAACTGTTGATAGCTAAAGCCCACACAAAGAAAAGCTATTTGGGACCCTCATCTTGAGACCAAAATATTAAAGAATCAATAATCTACATGTTCTTTTTTTTTTTAACTCAAGTGTTTGTATTTTTTTATATTTTATTTTCAAGTTTGCCTTTTATAATGTGAAGTATCTTTTTGTAGGTTGCTACAAGCCTCGGGAAAGATCAGATTACTTGATGTTGGCAGCTGCTTTAACCCATTTTTGAAGTTTGAAGAATTTCTAACTGTTGGTATTGACATCGTACCTGCTGTAGAGGTATGTGTAGTTTTGTTTTGAGACTTCAGTATTTTGCGTTTATATTTACAAACTAAAGCACTGTCTTTACATTCCTAAAAATAGAAAATATCTATTTCCTGTTTACCAGTTGATAAGAGATATTTTCCATTCAAAATTAAATATATATTATATGAAAATGTTTGAGCATTTAATTAACCAATACTATAACCAGTACTATATTTGTCTTTCCTTGCGTATCTAAATAGCCATAATCTGAAATGACACTGTTTTTAGTTAGCTTTGTGTCACTGTGACCCAAGGACCCCACAAAAATAATTTAGAGGAAGTAAAGTTTATTTTGGCTCATTTTTTCAGAGGTTTGTTTAGTTCATAGTCAACTGACTATAACCCTGGGCCCAAGATGATACAGAACCTCTTGGTGGAAGTGTATGATGGAGGAAAGCAACTCAGGACATGACAACTAGGAAGTGGAGAGTTTCGCTTACCAAGAACAAAACGTAAACCCCAGAGGCACCCCTGGTGACCTACTTCCTCCAGCCACATCCTACCTGCCTACAGATACTGACCAGTTAATCCTTGTCAGTGAATTGATTTACTGATTAGATTACACCTATCATAGTCTACTAATCATTTCACCTCTGAGCATTCTTGCATTGTCTTACACGTGAGCTTTTGGGGGACACCTCATCTGAACCATAACATATGCTTTTGTAATATCTGCCTTTAAGAAAGTTCAGTAGCTAATAAGGATTCAGATACACATAATGTTTTGGGCTTTGCATTTTATTTTATTTGATATTTTTAAGTACATATCTTTCTGAAATGTACTGTATTGAAGTGTCATTATGGAATGGTAGAAACAGGCAAGATCACTGGAGTCAGCCAAAAATTTAATTAAGTTTTTACGTAAGTATATGAAAACTACTGCATATAGACTGTTTTCTCTACTTTTAAAGAGCTGTGAGAATAAATATCTAACTAAAACTTGGCTTGATGCTATGTTTATCCTCAATAAGTGATAACTATTATTCTCCCCTTTGAGAACATTCCTTCACTTTGTGACACTGTTGCTTCAGTTTGGTGAAGCAGGATCACCTGCCTATTAGGTTAAACTTTTTTTTTATTTTATTCATATGATGCCAGAAACTTCTGTTAAGGGTAATTTTTAAAGGTAAGAGAATCCAGAGCAGGTACTTCCCTTATTAGAAAAGAATTTGTTATTTTTCCTCAGCTACAAATTCATAATATTTGCCATTTTACATTTAATACAGCTCTAGGCATAATAAAATAGTACAAATTGCCTTTTAGTTTTGATGGTGGTCTGGAGAGAGAACCCTGGGCCCTGCACATGCTAGGCAAGTACTCTAACATTGAACTGCATACCCAGCCCACAAATTACATTATTGATGTTATAAAGAGAATATAGATTATTATATTTATATTATGTTATATCATATTATATTTATGGATTTTTCCCCCAACTGCTGTATTTCTAGCACCTAGAAGAGAGCATGCTACATTAAGTACACTCTAAATAAAAGAATGGAATCTTACTTGCAACCTACATTTAAATCTCACTACCACCATTTTCTAGTCTCTATATTCTTATCTGTATAATGGGGTTAATAATGTACCACATTTCATAAGATATTGTTTTGTTTTGTTTTGTTTTGTTTTTGAGAAAAGTGTTTAAAGTGCCTAGCAAAGAATTTGTTATAAAGTGAGTGCTAAATAAGTGCTTACTTTATTGAAAAGTTTCTGCATGAAGATTCAACTTTCATCTGAATCTTTAACGGTATGTCATTTTGATAAACATTACTGTCTAAATATAATCTGAGTAACATTAAGGAATAAGGAAATGCTAAAATCATTAGTGTTTTCTTTACTTCTCAAAGACAAATATTTGTTCAACAGTGAAGTAGCTGTTCTTATCCTTGCAGAGTATTCTTGTGATATCAGAAGCTACTATAACATACTCATGACTTTGTGAATGGATTCTCTCTCTCCCTTCTTTTAAGACACACATTGGAGACGTTCTTCACAACTTCTAAGACATAATGACCATTTGATCTGAACCTCAGGCTTATATTTTTTTAAGTATTATTACATTTAATAAATAGTCCTATAAACTTTCAATTGTATGTTCATTAAGGAATGCAAAACAATGGCTACATTTAGTTCAGTAGTAGAATCAATCAGACTTTAATAATTCAAGAACCCCATAACTAATTTGAAAACAAAGAGAAAATATTCTAGCCAAAATGGAATAACAGGCTGCATTTGTTTACTTTCTCCTATATAAACCAACCAAAAATAGGGCAACACATATGAAACAATTTACATCACACCAGACGCAAAGGATGGTGATCCCTAAAAGATTGAAAACAAATGAAATAAGCTCTACCGTTGCACCTGCATGTTGCCTTACATTTCTGTATGTAGTACAAAGAGAGGGAACCCAAATAGAACCCAACTGAGTCACCTGAGTTGTAAAGTTAAAGTTGTAAAGTTAAAGAGAGTACTAGGGGACTATGGTAGCTAGAGTTTGTAGGACAGAGTATGACAAATGAGAAACCTACACAGAGAGAAAATCTAGAAGCCTGAAAAGGATCCCCTATGATCACACAGCTGAGTACTTATCAGCACATATACTTGAGAAAAATTCATGAGCCCAGAGACAGTACTATCTGAAAGAATTAAAGGTTACAGTGCCCAGCATTGTCACAGGCTGGAAATAGTACTTGTCACTACCAGTCACACTGAAAAGGTCAAGATTCACAAAGCATTGAATAGAGTATGTAATTCTTGCCCCAGTAGTTGAGAATATTAAGCCTTAGACTGGATATTGCTTCAGGCCCACCTACCAAATTTTAGAAACAAGATCCAAAAAGATCAAACTGTCTCCAGGTATCTTAATTACATTTCAGACTGAAGTTCAAGAATACTTATAGCAATCCCCAGCTATCTTATATCCATCAAGGTAAAATTCACAATGACTAGATTAAAAAAACAAACAATAACAACAACAACAACAACAAAAACTAGCCATGCAAAGAAGTAAGAAAATAGGACCCAGAATGAAGAGATAAATGATCTAAAAAGGACAAACATAACAGAGAGAAAGACAGATATGGAGAGAGATTAAAATTAGGAAATAAGGATATTTAAACTAATTTTATCTAGTTCAGGGAAATTCCTTAAGCTATACAGTTACGATTTGCATATTTTTCTGTTTTATACTTCTATAATTCATCATTTAAAATAAATAGAATAGGGATATTATTATTATGTTCCCTATGTGGTAAAAAGTTAGTAGTGAAATGGAATAGATGTTAAAATACCCAAATCTAACTTACAGAATGTGTAATATGAAACACAGATGGGATTAATGCATTTTAGATGTTGAAAAAGTTATCTTGAAGACATGGCAATAGAAACTGACCAAAACAAAAAAAAAAACCAGAAAACAATTTTTTTTAAAAATTGAAGACTATCAGTGAGACAGTTTTAACCATCCAAACATAAACATTATTGAAATCTTCCCTCAGTAATCCCAAACTCAAGAAAAAATGAAGAAAATACATGCAAAAAACATCATAATCAAACTTCTAAACCTAGTGATGTAGCCATAAAAGCAACCAGATATTTTTAAACAGACTTGTTAAAGCACCCAGGGCAAGGGGGATTGTCACCTAAAATTACATACCCTAGAACTTTGTCTTTAAATAATGAAGATGAGGGGCTGGGGATGTGGCTCAAGCAGTAACACGCTCGCCTAGTGCTGAGTTCGATCCTCAGCACCACATAAAATAAAATAAAGATGTTGTATCGGCCAAAATAACTGAAAAATAAATATTTAAAAAAATCTCTTTTTCTCTCTCTAAATATATATATATATATCAATAATGAAGATGAAATGAAGATTTTTCTCAAGCATACAAAAGCTGAAAAAATTCAATATCAGCAAACTTGTATTAAAAGAAATATTAGGGAAAAACATCTTTACTAGGTGGAAATATAGATCTATGAAAAAGGAATGAAGAGTATTAAAAGTGATGACTACAAAGGCAAATATATATTTTATATACGTATATATTATTTTCTTATTACTTAAACTGACTGTTATAGTTTCAAGTGTGTGTGTGTGTGT